TGTGTTTAAGGGACTTGCTGGCTTTTTGTGGTGTCTAGAAGTTGCTAAATGAGTTAAAAAAAACTGTAAAAACCTTACACCAAACCATCTTGCTTATTTGCAAGGATCAAGGAAGGATTTTGTTTGTTTATTTTTCTGAGAGATGGATTGAAAGATTTTGAAAGGCAGTCAGAAGGGTTTGGAGTACTGAGGAGATCCTTGATAGCTGATAGTTCAAGAAAATGCTTCATCAAACAGGGCTGGCAGGCATCTCTTCACTCCTTTGAACCTTCAGTGTTGATAAGGAGGTTTTAAAAGTTGTTATTTGTAGGAAAATTTGATTTTCATGTATCTGATTTATAAGTAGGGGATTTTCAGTATGGAACACATAATAGTAAATGACTGGGTCTTTATTTGAACGAAGGACTAACATCAAATTCATTAAGATCTGCCTCTCAGCAATTTTGTTCACAAATCCAATGGAAAAAAATAATCTCTGGAGTCACTTAGAAAACTGTCAGTAGTAGATTGCACGTGTATGTGTGAAACCAGCAGACTATTCATTGGAACTTTGTAATTGATGATCAAATATTTTGAAAGATCTTGTTAGTAGCAATCCAAGTAGAAATGGAGAAAAAGATGATGTGTCTGTATTTCACCAGCAAGGCAGATTGTGACTTTACAGAGCATTAAGATGTTTCAAGTTCTAAGTTTTTTCTTGGGTGAAGAAAATGACTGAATCCTGGAATACTTCACCGAAGGCTGCTTTTGTCAAACAGAGAAGAAACAAGAGAAGGCTGACCTCTCTCTTTGCTTACAGAAAGTTTTATATTTTCTAGGATTATATATTTAGAACACTTTATACAACAGGCCAGGCACTAACATTATGAAGTCACCAAGTGTACATGTATAGCGCTTCCAGACAACAGCAAGAGGTGGACTAAAGTTTTTTTGGAGACCAAATCAGTAATTGGAAACTGACCTTTCCCTCTCTCACTCCCTTTCCCTCCTAGACAATGGCAGAGGGTCTGAGGGTTGGAGGCAGAAACCCTCAAACAAACTGCTGTTATCTGATAGAAATAACCAGAAAAGATACAATTTTGTCTGGTAACTTACAAACCTAACATACTTAAGTCATTTAGTCACTTACTTCTTCCATCACACTCTTATCTCTGTTTTATTATGCTTTATCTTTTTCACAAGCCATTCTGGGTCTAAGTCTGTAACATACTTCCCTTGTTTTAACAAGATAATTCTTTTTCTGCAAATACCTGCATAGGGCATCTTGTCCTTCTATGTGACAATACTTACAAAAAAAATTTTTTTTCCTTAGAAGACCATGCTAAATAGATCCATAAAATTTAAGCTGAAGCCTTCTCATCTACTTGCTGAACACATGTATTTAATCTACAAGACGACCAGAACCTGGGATGTGAATAGCAAAGCAGAATTTGACCTTCATTTTTTTTGTGAGTATGACCTAGAGGAGAATTTTTTATCTCTGCATTAAAAGCATATAAAAATGTAAACTGGAATTGGTGCTATTGATTTGGTTCTGGTATTTGTTTCTTTGCACACCTACTACGGTATCCATGACTTTTGGGATTTTCAGAACAGCGTGTTTTTTACTTAAAGAGGTGAGTGTGGGAGAACTGCAGTGAGCTGTGGTTGGTTATTTCCATTATGCTTCGAGGTCTTTGCTGTCACTGAGGTTAAACTGAGAGGTCCAAGTTAGAGTACCTATCTGTTAAACTTTGCATGACACAAAAAGTATCACTCAACCTGTGAGAAAACCAAAAATTGATTCTAAGAGGGAAAGAAATCCAAATTCAAAGTGAATAACCAATGCTAGGGCAAGGAGAAAAGTATATCTGTAGCTGGTGGCAGTATAGGTAAGAAAGGGCCTTGAACAGATCTGGGTAAAACAATTTTGAGGAAATAGCAGTACCTTTCACCGATAACAGTACAGAAACAAAAGTCTTTGAGGATGGACTGCTTCTGAGATAATGATTGAAGGGAAGGCCTGCCTCAAAGCTGTGAAAGTCCTTTTGTTTTTCAAGCAGTGTGTGATCTTTCAAACCACTGCTCTGATGAGTTGGGAAGGACTGACTGCTGAGATTGACTTTACTGGCACTTGGTGAACTCCCACTCCAGGGTTCAGCAGTGAATCTTCCTTCACTATCTCAAGGGCATACCTAATTTACACAATCTATCTCCTTCTGTACAACTTACATTGGAGTCAATCGGAGCTGTGTGCCTGAAGTGAAGGGCAGAATTTGGCTCAGAGAGAGTATAACAGCTTCAGTGCTTTGCCAAATGAAATACATTTAGAGTCTGACATGCACAGTTGGACGTGGTAAGTAAAAAATCAGTTTTACTGGATACAAGGCTTCACTGACTAGTGCTACTTCCCTCTTATCATTGTTAAAAGATGTGCTTTATAAGAAAAACGGTGCTAGATCAAACCAGAGACTTATCTTACCTACTGTTCATGGAGTGATACTTTATGTAGCTCCTTAGTTTCCAGTGCTTCGTAGCTAAAGACTTTCTGTGTGAGAGGCTGCATTTTTTATTTAGCTCTGCATCAATTATAATAAAAGTTGTGCCAAGGTTAATTGATTTCTTTGTCACCGTTCCTTGAAACACAATTCTTTTAACTCATTCCAAATAATTTTCCCAAATTCAGCAGCAGTAGCAACACTGTTGACTGATAAGATCTATACCTCATTTAAAATAGATATTCAGCTTATCTAGTCACTGCTGAACAACAAGTATTTTACTGCTAAGTCCCAGTATATTAGATCACCAGTGTCAGGAACATGGCTTCTAATATGGCTTTTTCTTGTGAGGTTCCTCTCATAATAAGCTGTTCTGAACTCTTAAATGACTGCCTTGTGCAAGTAGCCTTTTAGTCTCTTCTGTCTTTACCACTGTTACATATAGGTAATTCCTACGGGATCATCTCTTCTCATAGTTACAAATTTTAATTGAACAAAATTGTACATATGGACCAGAACTCGGCTATCCAAAGACTTTTACATTCTACAGGAGTCTTCCATGGGAACCATTAGTTGCGGCTGTTTGTTCTTCCCTAAAAACACAGTGGCTTACTGCTATTTCCCTAAACAAGCATCTGTAGAAAAAAAATACAGTGCTTTTCAATGTTAACTACATATCCCTAAAGCGATCTGGGTTTGTTTCTGGGTTGGATTTTTTCAAAGCTTTTGCTGTGTTTTGGTTTTCTCTGTGAGGCTTCTGCTTCTTTTCCTTAGTGGTTTTTATCTTTGCTTGAAAATTTATAGTTCCGTCCTCTGGTGAGAAAATCCAAATGAGAAAACCCCTTCACTAGAAATTATTTTCACTGAAATTACCAATTCATTCAGTCTCCTTAAAACAGCCAGTCTGCACACCAGCAAGGAATCTGGTCTCTTTGACCCAGTAAAATTTAAGACTTCTATTGATTGTTTCCTTTAAAGCAACAAGGTAAAAAACTTTGTTTTTTAATTTTGTAGTAGTTTACAATACTTCTGTGCAGTACAACATACAAGGCCAGATTATTTTTCTTTAAAATTATGTCAGGACTTTGTACAATGTTGCCAGGAAGCACTTCTTTTCTAGCTAGATGTTTCAAGGATGGAACTGTCAAAAATTTCAGAGATGCAAAAGAGATTGATATAAAAAATGAAGGTGAAAATGTTTTGGTTAAAACAATGGAAGATATTTGGGATTCTTTTCCCCCTCAATATGTGGATTTTAATAACTACTGTTTGTTGTTAATTACAGAACATACTGCACCTTCTAAAAAACACATCAGAGGAGAATCAAGTTCATTTGTTATATTCCCCTTTGGATATGGTTCCCATACACACAATATTTAGACTAAATCCTGACTGCTTTTTTTTCATTGATATTTTAGGGAGGCAGGCTGGAGGGAGTGGAGACTGAATTATGCTCATAAACTAAAATGCCACAGTGTACATGTCTGTGAAGTTAGGTGCCTTGAATGGACCAAAGATGTGTAACTCATATGCATTTCTTTGAACAATCAAATCTTAGTATTTGATGCTGAAAGCCTGCTTTTATGTCAGAAAGTTTGCAGAGCCTGGAAGAAGGAGAGAAACACCCGTAAGGTTAGAACGTTATGTAAGGTAGTGTCTATCACCCAGGAGGATCTTAAAATATTGTATGCAGCATCTGAAATATTTCCATATGAGATTACATTATATGATGAACAACTATTAGTTAGATGGGCCACAGCTGGTACTTTACAACCTGTACATGTAATAAAGGGAAAGCTACCTATATGGAACAGAAATGAAATAATCAAAAGCCTGTGTTTGAATAACTAAACAGCACAAAGTTATTGCAATCCAAGAATATTTTAATTAATTAGAACCAATCAAAAAACCTTAGGTAAAATATAATTAATTTTATATAAGTTTCAAGGGTTCTTAATAGGATAAATCTCTTGTGTGAAATATTTTGGTAATGACTATCATAAAGGAGACTACTTTAAAGTGTAATAATGTGTTCTGAAAGAGTCTGCTTTTCTGTGTCATTTAGGAGGAAGATGTCATTATACTTGATGGTGTATTCATTGTGCCTGACTTAATTAGCTGTATTTGACCCTGTATGCCAATATTTCCACAGTACCTTCCTGCAACATCACTGTGGTTGTCCTTAAGATATTTTATAGAGATATACTGTTATCTCACTCTTCTTTTTTCTTCTTTTTTTTTTCTTTTTCATTTCTTGACATGCTGAATATATCAGAAACAGGCTGAACTGACGAAAAAATCTGAGATAAAATCTGAGATAGACATCTAAGAGCCTTTTACTTTTGTAAATTTTGCATGTGGCCACCCACAGAACAGGGGTTTTTTGGTGTGGTGTTTTTTTTTTTTTTAATTTATTTATTCTTATTTCTGTCTTCTGACGTATTTCCAAAGTTATGACTGTCTGGAACACCAGAATTCCCATTAGTGAGTAAAGTTAGGGAGTATCTGCTAAGATTTGATATGTTCATTTTCCAGAGTTATTACTGAACATGTGTGATGTGAGAACATTGAGATCCTCTGCCATTCATTACAGGTACGTACCTTCATTTAAAATGATTTGTTAAAAATACCATAAAGTTCATTATGTTCAATAGTTAGCCATTAACTATGGCTAACTATTCTCATTAATTTTGAAAATGCATGTAATTTATATTGGTATTGAATACACCCTAATGCATGGAAAGGTCTGATTGCACAGTGAAGGAGCAGATTGTCTTTTCCTTAAAGGTGCTTGCCACCTGAAAATACAAAAGATATGTAAGGTGAGGGCGTATACCAGAAATGAAGGGCTCACCACACAGCAGGAGAGTGGGGATGAGAGAGGTTGAGTCACAGGGGAGGAATGAGCAACAGCCTGTCAGGAAACACCCTGCGAGTTCCAAACATTTTTACTTTGTTTGATAAGGGTTTGGGTAGGTGGAGATCAGTTAAACGGGACAAAGAAAAGGCAGGGAAAGGGAGACAAGGGCATTTCAGGATGTGAAGAAGAAAGGAGGGAGCAGGCATGCGATGAAGATGAGGGTAGAGAAAGGGAGAAGTGTGGGGGCGAGATGAGTTGCAACAATCAGCAGTGAGAATGGATAATTAAAAATCATGGCTGTCTGTCAGACCTCAAGCCTCTTTTACCTTTGCTGTGTCAGCTTCATTGTCAGACTGGATCCTCCCTGTAGTCTCTTTCTCATTCCAGGCTGCTCCTGTCATTGTTTAACACAGTTGTGCATGAACAGTGCATGCAGACTGAAGCCATAAAATTATACAGTGCACTTAATTGAAAGATTGAAAAATTACTTTACAGCGACAGACTACATAATGGTTGACAGTTAGGGACTGATCTTAGACAACTGTACTCAGTGAGTGTAATTTAATGTTGTAACTTTCACATATGAAACCAATGATTTTTCCTTTGGCAGAGGGAAATTGTTCTTACACCACATTAACTTTTAGGGCTGGAAAGGGAACTTCTGCCTTTACCCATCCCTCTTAAAGATTCAGATAGCTAACAAGATTTGTTACTTATGCTTGAGATTAAAAGGCTGAATCTCAAAAATGGTCTATGTCTGTGTATATTTCCTTAAGTCAAATGATATATTAAATTTCCTTAATATTGAAATGTTTTGCTTGTGTGCTGAGAATTTTTATTTTTTATTTCAGAAATGATAGTATATAATGGTAAATAAATTTTCTGTTGAGAAATCCTAGATCAGCTCCAAGTCTTTCATCACTGCCACCCTTCCTTTCTCAGGGAAACAAAACACAACTAAGGTCCAATTTTATCTTTCCTCCTTGGTCACCATAACCTCTTTGAATAGGGAAGCTTATTTTTACTGAAAAGCTATGTTAAACCAGAAGAGTTTGAAATGGAGGGGCTCTGTATTCCCTAATTTCTTCAATAAAATATTATGAAAACAGCAAAGTAGATCCAAACAGCATCTAAATTGTTTGAATAGTGACACATATCATGGCTGTGTAGGCTGCATGCCTGGTTATTTAAGTTCAGTTACTGGCTGCCAGAATTACACTCAAGGGACCCCAGCATCTTCAATCCATAATCTCATTTTCCAGTCAAAATTCAGAAAAAAATCCACCCTAAAAATACAGGAAACCCAAACAAACCATTCTCTGTATGAAGCCAAGTTTTTTTTCAATTCAATAAATTCAGGCCTTCTATCCATAAGCTCAGCACTTGCATTGTCAGCACTTACTCTTTTAGGGGGAATTAGGAAAACAAAACATCAATGGAAAATCAAGCTGATTTCAATATTGTTCAACAAAGCAGGAATCAACTGACACTGTAGGAACTTCTTATCCCATTTTCTCTGAACAGCAGGGTAGGAGCACTTCTGGTATTAAGATATTTCATTTTTTCTAAAAATTACACTGAAGACTGCAGTTTGGTGTCATTTATAAATATTTGATTTTCATAATTGTTTCCATAGAATAGGGAGACAGAACCCACTAGAATTCCTTATGTGTTGAATATTCTTACTACTGAAGTCTCACTTTCAGCATGTAGTGTCAAACTTGCATCTCTTGATCACATATGCTGAATCTCTCACAGTGGAATAATTTTTATAATTTATTTTTCAAACAGCTTCTCTCATGGAAGTACAGCTAATGGCACATTATTTGCAGCCTCTGTGTGGTAACACTTCGTTCAAACTAACACCTCTACCCATAGCTCATTAAAGCAGCACTTACCTACCTTCAACACAAAGGGAATAGTTGTAGGATGAGCACTGGGTGTCTGATCTTCTTTTACACAGATTATCCTTTTTTTTTGCCCTGCTCTAGGCATTGCATGAGTGAACTTATTCCTGAAATACTGTAGCAAGAAATCTCTTCTTCTCTCTTATTAAACTGTCAAAAAACATATCTGAGAACCAGATATTTCACTGCAGTGTATTAGGAAATTTAGGAGATCATATAGAAATTCTCACAATAAAAAAGTTCAAATGTTCATCTTCTACCAACTTACAAATTACAGTTTCTGTAAGCATTACTTTTTCAGCTTTGTAGAAGTAAAACCTTTTCATTAATTAAAAACATGAGTATTAAAAATGAATACATTTACTGTAAAAATAGAATTCTGTATCTGATGTAATGAAATGTGATCATATTGTCAAAACCCCTCCTTTCTTTTTTAACACAAAGTGCTATCTTTGAAGATGTAACTTTGAACATCTCTGGTTTGCTTTTACTTTCCTTTTCCATCCATAGCTTTACAAAACGCAACCACCGAGTCTCAGAGAGTGAAGCAGAATCTCATTTCTGTGGAATGAAGAGGCATCTCATTTCGGGAGTCAGGCAACACTTACCAGACATATTGGGTGAGTCTTTTGAAGAGTCTAGTTGGTGATATCAGGCTTGGATCTCAAATAGTTAGATGCTTACTTTGATTAGGGACTTACTCTACCGCCATTGAATAAATAAATTAATACAGATGTTGTTGATGACATAAATACCTAAATAAATTGAAGTCTTCTGCATTATACATACAGATCCATGAACTAAGAGTCCTGGTGGGATGAGGCTGGCACAAGGAGGCAGCTACAGAAGGAGATACACCTCCTTTTCAGGTGCAAACAGTTAAATAACTGCAGCACCATCTGTATTCTCCTGACTAATTATTCTGACTTCCCTCCTGAGTTAAATAACACTCCAAGGAAAACAAGCAGGAAACCTAAATGTCCCATCCTCATTTCTCAGTGAAGTGAATTTCTCAGTGAAGTGAATACTTAGATCTATAGGCTTGCCTGACTGCTATGATAGGACTCCTTTCTAACTGAACCAGCAGAAAAACTTAGTCCAGCCTCTAGCTGTGCCTGCATTTGTGAGAGAAATCAACCTCCATCCTGGTGATAGAAAGCATCATGAAGGAGAACAGTGAACAATGCTAAGTCATTCACAGTCCTACATTTCTGATACACATTATTATTTGTTAGTGCAGTAGTACCTTGGAGCTCCATCTAAGAATTGCCAACAGCTCAAAAATCACTATATGGGTTGTCACAGACAGCCATAAGAAAACACAGCTCATACCCTAAGTACGTTACATTTAAAAAGGATGTCAAATACTGAGAAGACAACTGGGACCTGAAGCCAAGAGAGCTTTGTGATAGCACACATCACAAATCTGTGGCAGAGTCATGAATACACCACTGTTGCAGCATGTTGACTTGTATTTAATAATATAATTAATTTTTTTACTATTTGTGTTAGAGATACAGTTACGGCAACAAAAGCACAAAAGCAACTATTACAATACCTATTACTTGAATGGTCATGTGTCTCCTAGAATCTACAGTTGTAATTTGGGTTAGATCTAAAACTAGATTTGGTGTTAAATACAGCACAGATGAGCATTGTAGTGGACATCTTTTTGGCATCTGAAAGAAGATCAGTGAATACCTTTTTGGCACCTAAAAGAACATCAGGTGCAATTTGAAACCATGAGGTGAATATTTAATCTCCACTTAAAAAAATTAGGAGCAAAGAGTAGAGAATTAATGTCGGTTTTCTCCTTGGGAAGATGTATCAAGTGAAAACCCTTAGGGGTCTCTCCTAGATCATGGATCTTTCAACATAGCCATAATTATCTGGACAGAGAGCAACTAACAGAAAAATGGAGCTTGCTAAGAGTCATAAATTATTAAACACAACAAGAAAAAGAAGTATCTCACTGAACTGACTGAATGGGCAATTGAGTAGCAAGTTAAAACCAATACAATAAAGCTGAAAATGGTATAGGGAAGGATGACAGCAATGATTAAAGGTGTGGAATGACCTCAAAACAACAGGTAACTCAATAGACTAGGACTGTTCAGTTTGAGAAAGAAATTGTTTTAGTGGAATATGAATGATTTCTGGAAAAAATTGTTTGCACAGAAAACTTGTCTTGGAAAACAATTATTTTCTGTTTATACTAATGCAAGAACTAGGGGGAAACAAATGAACCTGGCAGGGGTTATGTTGAAAATGAAAAAAAGAGATTTCCTCCATGGTAGACAAGCTGTGGAACTCTGCACCTGAAGTTATTGTGGATATTGAAAGATTATCCGGGTTCAGAAAAGTGATTAAGCATGTGGAGAAAATTACCCATAGTATTCCACATGAAGTTGTGAGTTGTCTCAGGAAGGCTGTCTTTTGCAAGTTTATGGAGGAGGAGAAAGTCAATAAGGGAACTATCTATATTCTAGTCCTGTTCTCTAGGCACCTGCTGTTGACCAGTTGAATATAATACCGCAAAAGGTGGATGGTTTTTTTCCCTGCCCCTTTACAGCTGTTTTTAGGATATTATAGGCAAAGAATGGGCACAATTAGGTCTGCCATTATAACTCTTAACAGGTCACATGTTGAGTAAGAGACCATCTAAACCAGCCATACAGTGGTAAAAACCCCATCTGACCTCAGTAGTAGCACAGTGTTTGAGTATGCAGTGGTGCTTTGACTGGGAAGATGATGGACCTTAGCAGGAAACACTCAGAATCAAAAAGCATCAGGTCTCAAAGCATAATTAGGTAGGAAGCTCTTATCAGGTAATCTTTTGCTTTGAACAGATTGAAAAATCTAACTCGGGCAATCTGGCTGCTTTTATCTCACCAAGCAGCAAAACAAGGACAAAGGCAGGATCAGCGGAGTTCATTCTTGCATCATGTGGCTCAGAAAATGAGCTTGGTCTCACTGGAGTCTCACTGGAGACTGATTTGAGATCATGTGATTGTCCTGGAGTGGAAGTGTTGCATGAGCAGGTTTTGGAATCGGTAACATAGGCCCTTTAGGAATCTTTTGTGGTGTGTAGTCCCCTCCAGAGCAATTGGATTCTCTTCATCTGTCACATTAACATTGCAGATTTGAAATTAAAATAATAATGAATAAAAAATTCAGGCTTGATTTAAAATTAGAAAGAAAGAAAAAGCATTCCACTTCATTAAATCACCTTGCAATATATTTGGCAGCTTTTACAGGAAGTTTACAGAATGAAAAAAGAAAGGAAGAAAGGAAGGAGGGAAGGAAGGAAGGAAGAAAGAAAGAAAGAAAAACAAAAAAGAAAAGAAAAAAGAAAAAAGAAAAGAAAAGAAAAAAGAAAGGAAAAAAGAAAAGAAAAGAAAAGAAAAGAAAAGAAAAGAAAAGAAAAGAAAAGAAAAGAAAAGAAAAGAAAA